ATCTTGCTCGCCACGTTTTGGAACATCCCAGACCAGAACGCGTTGCCTGCTGCCTCAAGGAAGCCCCTGAGCCACTCAACCCAGTAATCGTAGTCGTTCTGGCCCTGTGGTTGAGAATGGTGAAGGGGTCTTCCAACCTTCTACATCAGGCAAGTATCCGTTGGTTGAAAACAGTTCTTCTCCTGATCCGTCTCTGTGTTCCAGAGTACCACCATGCTCGTTTCGGCTGATCGATCATTCTGCAGACCTCCAACCGACTTCGTTCGACCGCCTGTTGGTGTATTACCAGAACGTTCGTGGCCTGCGAACAAAGATTGATGATTTTTTCCTGACTGCCGTTGACTCTGACTACAATGTCATAGTTCTTACGGAAACTTGGCTCGATGACCGCATTAATTCATCTCAATAATTTGGCAGTCTATTCGAGGTATTTCGAAACGACCGCAACCACCAGAATAGTACCAAATCGCGTGCGGGAGGCGTCTTGATTGCGGTATCCAAACGCCTAAGCATCCTGCATCCAGTTTGCACTTCTCTAGAGCAGCTGTGGGTCAAAATAACGACGCCTCGTAGATCAATAAGTATTGGCGCTATGTATCTACCTCCAGACCGGAAATCTGATTCGAGCAGCATTGCAAATCACATCAGTTCGATTGGTACCGTGTTCTCTCGACTAGAACAAAACGACCTAGATCTGATATTTGGTGACTACAATCAGTCTGGGCTCTAATGGAACGTTCCTGCAAACGATCTTCCTAGCATTGATGTACTTCGCTCGAACATGCCCGTATCATGCTGTGCTCTCCTTGATGGTTTCAACCTGCATGGCTTAACGCAAATCAACTCGATACTGAATAGCAACTCTCGGCTGCTTGATCTCGTTCTGGCGAACGAAGCTGCAGGACTGGAATGTTCTACCCTAGAAGCCCCAGAGCCTTTGATTGGCATCGACACCAATCATCCTGCGTTGGAAGTTTCCATGAACCTATCTGTTCCTGTTCGCTACGATAACCCCCCCAGTTGATTTACATGAGCTCGACTTTCGTAGAGCAGATTTCGTCGCGCTGAGTGACCAGGCAGATTGGTAGTTCCTTGACACGTGTTCATCTATTGATGAAGCCGTCAACTACTTCGCTGAGGTCGTTGGCCGGGCAATAACTGATTCTGTCCCACCTCTCCCAAACCCGCATGGTCCAATGCTCGACTACGGAATTTGAAGCGTCTGAGATCGAAATGTAAATACTGTCGTACTCGTAACCCATTCACCAAACGATTATTTTCAACAGCGAGCAACGAATATCGCACATATAACCGCATTCTTTACAAGAGCTACACAAGGCGTGTGCAGGCTAATTTGCGGCTTAATCCAAAGCAGTTCTGGTCATTCGTGAATACCAAACGAAACGAGGAGGGGCTACCAGTCGAAATTTACCTGGGTGATAGAATCGCCAGCAATTCCCTTGAGAAATGTAATCTTCTAGCAGAACATTTCAAAAGCATTTTCAATGACACTACGGCTTCGTTGTCCCAAGTTGCTGAAGTGGTGAGGGACACTCCCAGTGATGCTTTCAATTTTTCGATTACCTTGGTTACAGTAGACCTCGTCGAATCCGCCATCAAGAAGCTGAAATTTTCTAATGCTGCTGGCCCTGACGGGATCCCCTCAAGCATCCTGAAGCGATGCTGTTCAGAGCTTACAACACCGCTTTCGAAGCTGTTCAATATTTCATTACAGCAGGGGGAGTTCCCTACGCGTTGGAAATCGTCATTCATGTTCCCGATCTACAAGAAAGGAGACAAGAGAAACGTCGAAAATTACCGAGGGATCACATCACTCAGTGTCTGCTCTAAAGTTTTCGATATCATCATCAACGACGCATTATTCTCTAACTGCAGAAATTACATTTCTCCTGAGCAACACGGTTTTTATCCCAAGAGATCAGTTTTAACAAATCTAGCTCCGTTCATTTCTTTATGTTTTCGGAGTATGGAAGCTGGAGCGCAGGTGGACGTTGTATATACAGATCTTAAGGCTGCATTCGACCGGGTTGACCACTCCAGTTGACTGCTAGCTAAACTTGAAAAACTCGGTGTATCCTCGGGTTTAACTCGTTGCTTCAAGTCCTATCTGACCAATCGGGAACTTTGTGTTAGAATCGGATCAGAGCAATTGGACTATTTTACAAACAGCTCCGGTGTTCCTCAAGGTAGCAACTTGGGACCATTGCTATTCTCGATTTTTGTGAATGAGGCCGAACTGATCCTCCCAACTGGTTGCCGATCGTTCTACGCGGATGATGTGAAGTTCTATGTGATTGTTCGTAGCTTCGCCGATTGCTTACGGCTTCAGCACCTAATCGATACTTTCGAAGAGTGGTGCTCAAGAAACTATCTCACGTTGAATGTACAAAAAAGTAATATTATCTCATTTCATCGCAAGCTGAAACCAGTGGCATTCAACTATACGATAAATCACCAACTTCTGCACGCTGGACTGCACCTTAACATTCAAGCTTCATTACTCGGGCATCGTTGCGAAAGCTAACAGGCAACTCGGGTTCATTTTCAAGATCGCTGACGAGTTTCGCGATGCTGCCTGTCTAAAAGCTCTATACTGCTCTCTAGTGCGATCGATCTTGGAATTCAGCTCGGTAGTATGGTGCCCGTATCAAGCAGTTTGGATAGCGAGGATTGAATCTGTTCAAAGGAAATTTGTTCGGTATGCCTTTCGTCACCTTCCTTGGAATGACCCTGTGAACCTTCCGTCGTACGAAGATCGTTGTCAACTCCTGGATCTTGAAACACTAGAACATAGGCGGACGATTAGTCAGGCCGTGTTCGCAGCGAAAGTACTTATTAGTGATATCGACTCTCCAGGAATCTTGGCTGAATTCGAAATCTACGCACCCGAACGAGTGCCGTAGAAGGTAGAAAAAAAGTTGCCCTTTCTTGAACGAACGTCGCCGATCCGAAGTCAATAAGCTTGATATGGAAATGGTGATCGATGATAACGTCCTCAGCTTTGATGTTCCGGTGCAGAATGTTCAATGAGTGCATTCCCAATGTTCCTCACCAGCGTGTAATGTTTGCTGTACTCTCCGTGGATTAAAAAATCTTCATCGCACTGCGACATACGGGAGACGGAACTTATACATTTGAATTGTCAGAATACCGGGTTGCCAAACATACAATTATTCACAAATAAAATCAGTCCGATAACATCTCAACAAACAATTTTAGCTGCAGACTAGCTTATACAGACAAAAATTAGCTGTATAAGCCACTTTTTGGCTGTATAAGCTAATCTGCAGCTAAAATTGTTAGTTGGGATGGCACTCTCGGCCCAGCGCGGCACACTTGAGGCACACTGAGAAAAATGTTGGCGCAAAATAAGTGTGTAGAGTGACCACCCCTTGTGTTTCACTTATTTTCACAAAGGTTTTCTGTTATCACACTCAGATTTCCGAGGTCAAGTACGTGGTGTGAAACGGAGGAGAATAACGCTAGTCGGACGCAAGCAAGTTTACTTACTGATGAGATCAGCAATTGTGGAATTCCGTTTGATGACTGTTCAGTACAAACTAAATAATGATAAGTCGCTACACTATTGTACTGAGTTTTAGTCATCCACCGTAAAGCTGTTATTTTACGGAAAATTCAGTACTTGATATTACCGTATTCAGTAGTTTTTCACAAAAGCTACTGAATTTCAGTAGTTTTATTGAGAATAGCTGAATGTTCGGTAATTCTTGTGATTTACATTACCGAATAAGGAAGCCGTGATTAAGAGTGTATAATTTATTTTAAAATTTCCCAGTAGCCATTTTGAAAATTTTACAAGATCCAAAATGGCGAAGTTTTGTTGAAATTATGGAAAGTTTCATGTAAAATCCGAGAGGGTCGAGTTTTTCCGATTCGTCATTTGGGGTGGAACTGCTCCTATCGTACACGGATAGAAATCTTCTTACACCTTTTGGCAAATTTCTATTGCTGATTATTCATAAAATATATAAGTCAACTAATAAGCAGACGTCTTGCAAAAAGTTAATGAAGATTATGTGTTAAATGAAATGTAAAAGCGGTCACACATACTTTTTATGCATTCTTATATGACCTATGTGGTTTGTCTTATGGAATATATAAGGCTGAAGTTTTGGCAAAAATGTATAAGTGAAACACATAAATAAAATAATTGATTTTCGTTTCGTGTATATGGCGCTAGGATTCCAAAAAAAGAAATGATGTCATCGTGTTCCGTAAACAAGACATTAGTTTTGCCGGTTATCAAGATGTTAGTATCTGTTTTTTTCACATTTCTTCTACACGGCCGTTCAATCTCACTCAGAGAGAGTATAACTTCTACTCGGATGAAAGCGAAATTTATAAAAAAAAACGACGGTGACTTGCGCTGAGTGACCTACGTGTTTGGAAATGTTTCTTTCATCTGAGTAGAAGTTTCTCTCTCTCTCTCTCTCTCTCTGAGTGAGATTGAACGGCCGTATACCGATGATCAATCATCCCTATATAGTGAAAGCTAATGCCCGAACAAAACTATCCCACACCCACCATTCAAGTATATTATGCGTAAAGGGTAGCACTGTCGTGACCGAACCGAACGTGTTACATGACTTCACTATACTTATTAAATAAATTCTGCCCCTCGGAGCGAAGCGAAACTAACATTCAGACACCGAGCAGTAAGTAGGGTAGATGTTCCAATAGTGGAGTACATAGTATCCATATTTGAAATTAGAAAATTTAGTATTTTCCTTTCCGATTGCTTTTTATGGACTACGCCTCAATTTCCAGCAAATAGGGAAAAAAGGTCAATACCGTAACTATTGCTACGATGCTACTGCTGGAACATTTACCTTAGTGAAATCCAATACAAGCACATAAGACATAGCCGAAGCGAGCCCCTCCACTGAGTTTAACCAGAGTCGACGCATTGGCGCTTTCGGTCCAGACTCATTTCATTTCATTTGTGATCTAACTGACAACGGGTGCAGGTGCTATCTGTTCGTGTTCAGACTAATCTGCATATAAGCAATTACTGCACTAGAAACAAGATGAAATACTTGATTGTAGGAGTCGTTCTGGCTACGGTCTGCATCCAGGGTAAGATATTCGCATTGTACACCTGTATTATTGTTTTATTGAAGTAGACGCTAATAGCATATAATTTTCTCTACATCTGCAGCCATCAGCGCGTTGAAATGCATGCAAGGCATTGAAGTGAAAGCTGACAATAGCAACGGGGTGCAAAAAAATGAGAAACCTCTGGATATTGAGGAATGCGGTGCTGGAACCACACTGGCCTCAGCCGCATTGCTGTTCACGGCGAAGCCCAGCTCAATCAGTTTTCCATCGGGTGACTACAAGTGTTACCATCTGAAGTACAACCAAAAGAACAGCGAGTTGTCGACCATTATCAAGGGTTGCATCTACAAGTCCCTGGACGTTTGCGACGGCAAGTTCTCGTCGGACAACGTCCAGGAAAGTTTCTGCAGTCAATGCGACATGGATGCTTGCAACTCCGCCGGTCGATACGGGTTCGACCTGAAGCTGCTGGGATTGACCCTGGTCGCCATTGTAACTTATCTGCTGAAGTAGAGGGCTGCTGGGCGGTAGCTCACGCTTCCAAGTCGTGACTCGTTTCATCTCTTACAATCTCATCTTTTACGCTTTAGTGTATATGTGCGCGTGTTTCAAATTGAAGGGAGGGAGCGAAATCTGTATGACAGACTCCTCTCTAGGATATTGTGCTTTGTAGTAGATGAGCTAACCATTTGAAAATAGTGACAGTGAAGAAGACAACTGCAAAAAAAATAGATACCCAGACCGTTTTTATCGAAAATCGATTCCAGAATCAAACGAAGACCAACGCAGAAAGGAAATGATACACCAAAATGTGCTTTGCAGAAATTGTTAACTCAGGAGACGATGTGACCCATCAAACAAAATGGATTTTCTTTTTTACATATACCCAATTACCTCCGTAATTTTCCCCGTGGTGGTTAGAATTTAATCGTTTTAAAATAATCGATTGACGTCGAAATCGGTTTAATATTATGAACAGTGCTATATTTTTTCGCTGATTTTTGCTTTCCTATGAAGGTGAAGAATGAAATAAATGGTCCCGGTGACGGACGAGAAACAGAACAACCAAACGACGAACATATCTAGATAGAGCTGAAATTAGGGCGTAACAGCTTTTGTAAACATTGACTTCTCTCGATGATTTTTAGGAATTCAAGGCACGCCCACGCAAACCAACATAACCGTCGGGTAGAGTAATTCTACCCGATGGTGATTGCATTGGCGAACGAAGTCAATGTTTCCTTAAGCTGTTACGCCCTAATTCCAGCTCTATCTAGACCTCATTATTATTCCGGAAGACACTCCCTGAACTGGCAGAAAGCCAAGATTGGGCATCGTAGGTCTGTTTGACTTTGAATAGCTATCTGCCGCTCAGTGTGTTTGCTCAATAGGCTTATCACACGCGAGTCATTAATTTATGCAAGCATGACCGTTTATTACTCTACGAATAAACCAAATGCATGCTCCTCAACTGATGACTCATTGCCGCCGTGGCTGGTGAGATTCCAAACAAAAATGCTGAGTGTGAGCTTTTTGTACCGCTTCTTTAGTTGTTTTTTGTAGTCCGGAATATGGTCTCGGTAAAACAAGGTGAATAGACACACTTTCAACTTGAAATTGTAGGAATAAGTACTATACGAACGGACGCTGTCGTGTTATGGATCTGGCAAGCGTACGTTTCCTTAATTATTGTTAAGATTTTATAGTTCTTAAGTGATTTATTTAAAAAAAAAATCCACCGAATTTCGTCTTGATTTTTAGGAATAAGCAGTTCCAGGCCAAATAGAGACAATAATCAAATTTTAGATTTGAAGTCTGTGCTGGAATTCGGCCAATTTTTCAAAATGGCGTATTCGATATTTCTCAATAAATCCTAGCAAGACAGCAGCTCATCCAATCGAAATGACGTCCGAGACAAAGTTGTAGGAAAGTGGATTAACTTTTTAGAAAAAATACACGATACAATAACAATAATTCGTCAAAAAGTGGAACAAAAAAAATGTACATTGACATAGTAAAACATAAACTTTTAGTAAAATGTGTTAGAGAAGCTCACTGAAGTAGATAGTAGTAAGCCATGATAATAATAAAATAGTCTTTGTCATTCGTTGCCCAAGCCTCTTCCAAGTCAGGCCTACTTTTATCAAGTTATGAGCCTAGATATACTGCCCATAAATGCATAACTGTCCCATATGAATAGGAAATCAAGCAAAGATGGGACAATTATGCGAGTATCGGCAGTATAGCTGCCATAGAAGCGATTTTGTTTGAGGAAAATTTATATTGAAAAACGAAAAGGTTCTGGAAGCAAGATATCCATTCCGAATGATGGTGATGGCAGAAATGCTGGAGTGCAACCCTAATAAAAAATAACCATAAACGAACGATAACCCAAATCATTGAACTATTCCACAAATGGTTTGGATGATACCCAGAACACGTCGTTAAGCAAATTAACCATACAATTTTTATTAGGGAAGCTGGCGGATCGAAATTCTCTGGAGGCATGGTTTCGCTGTAAGCAAGAGAACCCAATTTCCAGTTTTGGAGGCGAACCAGCCCCAGGCTGAAAGCCTCCCTAATAAAGATAAATAATAATAATAATTTCCAGTTGAAGAAACGCTTTCGTTTTGATTTTGTTCAGCTGCATGTTGAATAATAATTGCACAATGTGTTCACCACAACTTTTATAAAACCCTTGTTTACACTGGTTTGGAGAACCTATACAACTGCAACACAAAGGTGTTGTCTAACGTATTCAGTAAAACGTTTACCCAAAATCAATTTCTTGTTGAAGAAACGCTTCCATTGTGATTATATTCAACTGCATGCTGAATAATAACTGTTCAATTTGTTTATTACAACTTCTGTAAAACTCTTGTTTACACTGGTTTGGAGAACCTGTTCAACTACAGCATTAAATGTATACGCGGTATAGGAGTAGAAGCAACTTTTATACAACGTTTATAGATTCATATTTAAACTCAAGCTTTATTATTTTGCTGAAAGCTCTTATACAACGTTTGTAGACACTTCTTGACAGCTGCTTTGAAATTTAGTAGAGAGTAAACCTGAGAGGCGTTTGTTGCACTCTTTTATGACTCCTAAATAATCATTGTACAGCAAGCGGTGAAAAGCGTTTATAGCACTTTTCAATGACTCCTTAACAACCGGATAGAAGCAACTTTTATACAACGTTTATAGATACATATTTAAAGTCAAGCTTTATTGTTTTGGTGAAAGCTCTTATACAACGTTTGTAGACACCTCCTAACAGCTGCTTCGAAATGTATTAGAGATTGAACCTGAGAAACGTTTGTTACACTCTTTTATGACTCCTAAATAATCACTATACAGCAAGCGGTGAAAAGCGTTTATAGCACTTTTTAATGACTCCTTAATAACCGTTGTGTAAGTACTCACAATATTCACAGATTAAAATTAGTTTAACAATTGTCGTGGTACGCCAAAATTATTGCTTGTACAGTTTTTATTAATTTAATTTATTTGTGCACATTGAAAAAATATGTAATTATGCCATAATTCACATTCTGTGATCATGGAGGAAGTAGTAAAAAGCATCTGTTTAATCTTTGATTGATATTCTTTCAATTAATCTCTCTAATCATTAAATGAGAGAATTTATCTAGAAATGTTATCGTTGATTATATGATAGGGGAAATGTTGGCTTCGGCAATACCTTAACCTATTATCGTCAGGGGGGTAAACAACGTCCTTGAGAGCTCAATTTTGGCATGTGGATACATTGTGTTTCAAAGCATCTATTGGCCAAGCTGAAGCTTTTAACCAAATGGCAATACAACTACATTCTTGTTCAACTCTGGAAGCTATTATTCAACGTTTGATCGACTCAGGTGTTTTATAAGAGCTCCCAATTGTTTGTTTTGATGGGTTTTTTCCACGTTCTGTATAGCTCTTGTGAATCAGTTTAACTAAGGTGCTATAAACGTTATCGTAGGTCTTATAAAGCATATAGTTAAACCGAACGTAAACAATCATTTAAGAGTGCTCCAACAGGAGAGTTATAACATGTTATAACGGTTGTCAAATAATTGCAACACAGAAACCACCATCAAGATAGCGCTATAACATGTTATAGTATGAACGTACTATAAGTGTGCTCGTGTATTTCATTGCAAATACACTACACTTACGCGGACTCTGGCAAAGCTTATCACGGACAATGCAAATGTTCTGTTCAAGTGTGATAATTGTCTATCAGATCAGAGCTGCGACGAGCAGAATGAGCTGATCTCGCGCGTCAAAAGGATAGAGGAAGAGATGAAGAATGTTTTTCAACTCTCGGACTCGATCACTGGCATGCGAGATCACATTGCTGCTCAGATAGACATCGCGTTAAAGAGCGGGATGGTAAAAATTAGCCGAAATGTAAATGGTATTAAAAAATTAATTTGTGAGAAATTGGACAGTATGCAAAACTAATTTTTTAAATTACTGCGGAGAAACAATTAGCTGTAAAGAATGACCAGCACAGTATATCTAGGACAGTTCAGTCGGAATCGGACCAAAATACCGGACGCAAAAAACGTAAATTAGTGATTAGTAATAGTGATAATGATGATAATGTTTTTTAAGAAAATGCGAGTTTTGCTAATGTTGTAAAAAGACATAGTCGTGCAAGTAAAAGTAAAAATTTTAGTAACAGTAACATGACCAGTAAATATATTAGCTGGTGATTTTAATAATAATTGACGTGACAACCATAATTCGAATCATTTGAAGCGTTTAGCTGAGTTTTTTTAATTTAAAGCAAACGGTAAATGAATATACGCGTATTTTCAGGCACAGTAGAACTTTAATTGACCACGTTTATTATAATTTTGATTCCATTTGTTCAGTTACGGATACTGATTTGAAAATAACCGATAATAAGAGCTTAGTGATTAATGTCTTAGACCGTTGATGATAACGATAATTTTGTAAAATTGAAGTGCTGGAGGAAATATTCGAAGCAAGCTGTTTCGAATCTTGTTGAGAGGAGCGTGGATTTTCCAACCACTCGGACTTGTGCGGTCCTCTGGAGACAGAGTCGATGGGAGGCAGCCGTTATTTCCTGTCCTTCATCGACGACGCAAGCCGAAAAGTAGTTGTATATTTCCTTAAATCAAATACGGAAGTGCTCGGAATCCCTTCAAGACTACAAGGCTTTTGACGAAAATCCAACGAGAGAAAGGATTAAGCGAGTTCTTACGGACAACGGCAAAGAGTACGTCACCCGAAGTGTTCGAAACTTTTTGCGGAAAGAATTAATTCATCATGAGTCGTCTGTTCCCTGCAAGCAAAACGGATTCGCAGAAAGGATGAATCGTACGTTGGTTGAAAGAGCGAATAGTATACTGTTCGATGCATTCCACGTGGTCATTGATTGGTTGTAATCTAATTTAGTTACAACCAGAAATGTAAAGGTAATCTTTTGTCCCATTGTCCCCCTCTAGGCAGGATCAGTGATACTGATATTGCAGGATCAGTGAGTCTTTAATATTGATAAACATGTTTTATTGTCATAACATTTTTTATATATTTATAAATTTATTAAATTGATGTGTAAGTCATCGTTCTCCCAACATAGCCCCTTTTTGTGTTTCGTTTCAGTTGTCCCATCAATTGTCCATTCACCTTTCGAGATTCAGAGCACTTGTCCGCACTGCAGTGCTTCTTCCACGTTCATTCACCGATGCAACGGCGACCGAGGTTAAAATGACAATGCACCCCCATGTACCTTATCCCAAGTCCACATCCAACCTGTTAAAAAATTGTAGTCCTTAACCTCGAGTAAGGCCCGAGTATTCGGTCCCCGTTCTACTAACTTTAGTCATAAGAAATAATGCTGTTATACATTGAATTACGGCTCCGCAAAGCTAACGCAATTGAGCCTTTGAAAATAAATGATACTATAAAAAAATCAATAATGTTATGACCACACCTTGAAAGATATTGATATATATATATCTGTTACGAACGCGCTAACGTGTGGCCGTGTACATCATGTACGCGAACGTAAACTTGCAAATAAAACTTTATTAAAATCGCGAATCTTTTTGACCGCTCGCTTGAATGTGTCCACGAAACGCTCAGCTTGGCCGTTGGACTGCGGATGAAACGGTGCAGTTGTCACGTGATTGATACCGTTCTCGAGGTAGAATTGTGCGAACTCGGCACTGGTGAACTGCGTACCGTTGTCGCTTACTAGCGTTTCTGGCATACCAAGGCGAACGAAGAGACTTCGTAGGATTCCGATGGTTGCAGTGGCTGTTATCGACTTGGTTCTGACGATTTCCACCCATTTCGAGTACGAATCGACGCTAAGCAGGAAGTACTCTCCTTCGATAGGCCCAGTGTAGTCGATGTGGACGCGCTGCCATGGATACGTTGACTTGGGCCACGACAGCGGCGGTGCTTTGGGCGGACTCTTGGCTGCAACTGCGCAGTGACGGCACGCTTTGACATGCGCAGCGATATCCGAGTCGATAGACGGCCAGTAAACGAAGCTGCGCGCAATCGCTTTCATGCGCTGGATACCGGATGACCACGATGGAGATGGTGTAGGCAACGCATCCGGAAATCGGTCGGAATCACTAAACGTTCGGCAAACATCACGCACCCTTGAACCGTAGATAGCGAATCACTTCGGTTGAAGAATTGCTGGATCTCACGGTCCGAAATGGTCGTTTTTAACTGTGGCCAACCTTGCTGGACGAAGCGGTAGACCTTGCTAAGTACAGGGTCGAAACGGGTGGCGTGCTGTATTGCCCTGAAACTGAGAGGAAGTGCGTTAACTGCATCTAATGTAATGGATCTTACATCGTTCTCCGTGATGATACTGGCTACGACGAAGTCTTCCTCTGGTTTGACGTGTTGATCGATCAACCGGGACAGGATATCGGTGTTTCCGAATTTTGTTGTGTTTACGTAAACAATGTTGAAGTCGTAGCCGGTTCGCCGTATAGACTGGGATGCCATTTTTCGACCCGAAGATCCGAAGAAGTGGAGCATGATCAGTTTGTAGTGTGAAGCTCCTACCAAACAGCATCTTGTGGAACTTGGTCACAGCGAAGATAATCGCGAGCCCTCACGGTCTGGCTGACTGTAGGCTTGCTCGGCGGCTGTCAGTGCTTTAGAAGCGTGCTGCACGACCTTAATAGACCCGTCTGGAAACTTGTGGCTAATGGTCGCACCAACTCCAACCGATGACGCATCCGCTGCTACCACTATCTCGCGTTGCGGGTTGTAGTGCGTCAGAAGCAAATCTGAAGTGAGAATCTGCTTGAAGGTGGAGAAGGCCTTGTCGCATTCCACTGACCAAACGAACTTCTTGTCGGCTTTGAGAAGCTCATCCAGCGGATATCGCAACGTACGCATACTCGGGACGAATTTCCCGTAGTAATTGATCGCTCCCAGAAACGATCGAACTCCAGAAACGTCTGTCGGCGCTGGCATGTTGCAGATAGATTCAACTTTCGCTGGATCCGGACGCAGACCTTGCCCAGATACTTGATTTGACGCTGGCCAAACGAGCACTTTTCCGCTTTGATGGTGAATCCGAGCTCCTGAATTCGACGAAGGACGGCTTGAAGGTTGCGCCAATGGTCCGCTTCGTCGACTCCGCCGACTAGAACATCATCGAGATACCCCGAAGTGCAGTTGAGTCCAGCGAGCATTGTGTCCACAAGCTGCTGAAACGCTCCGGATGCTGCCTTAACTCCCGGTGGAAGCCGATTGTACCGATAGAGACCTCGATGTGTGTTGATGGTGAGCAACTCTCGACAGCTTTCATCCACCTCCACCTGCAAGAACGCATCTGAAAGGTCGATTTGACTGAAGACCTTGCAGTTCGCCAGCCTAGCGAAGATGTCCTGCGGTAGAGGGTACTGATGCGGCTGCAGAGCATCGTTGAGGCCCGTGGAGTAGTCACCGCAGATACGGATTGCACCACTTGCCTTACGAACAACGACGATTGGAGCTGCCCACTCCGAGAAATCGACCGGTGTGATGATGTTGGCACTTTCCAGCCGGTCCAACTCCGCATCGACGGTACTGCACATGGCGTAAGCCACTGGTCTCTTCGGTCGGAACACTGGGGATTTACATTCCCTCAACGTGAACTTCACCTTGGCCTTCGAGCACAACCCTGGTTCACCATTGAACACCGCATCATTGAAGCTGCTTGGAGGGAGCTGATCGATGTTGGATAGCTGCTGATTTGATTATAGAACTGATCCATAGGCACCGACCCGAGGTTAAACGTATCGATTAGGTCCAGTCCAAGCAGATTGAGCTGCTGCTTGACCACGAAAAATCGACCTTGATGCTTCTCCCCTTTGATTGCAACTTCACAGGAACACTGAAACTTCAGCTTCAAGGGTTTGCCCGATGCAGCGGCTTGAATTGTTGCAGGACTTGCTGTGGGTTTTCCGATATGCCGCCATGATTGCTCGGAAATGACGCTGATATCCGACGCAGTGTCGAGTTGGAGACTGATCTGCCTGCCGTTGACTTCTGCTTTCACAATTCTCCTACGCTTCCGGACGTTCTTCACCTGCACGCTTCTGGTTACCATCGGCTTGGATGAGTACCGCTTGCCTGGATATTTCACCTTTTTGGCGCTTGAGCAATACCCGTCTTTGTGGCCCACCTGACCACATTCTTTACACCGATTTTTGAGGAAGGGCAGTCCTTGGAATAGTGCATGGCGCCACAGTTCCAACAAGGCGTTGCTGGAACGGCACCTCGCTGATTCGGGGATCTTGAACCTGGTGATCCTCGTCCTGAGCGGGAATACTTCCCACCAAACTGCTTCCGCTTCAATGCTTGCACTGCTGTCGACGAAGACGCTGCCTCTATCATCGCCGTGTCGTGCCTGAAGTTCAGAAGCCGTTGACATTCGTACGAAATCTGCTCCAGCGTGATGTCATTCCGCTCCTCGATTCTGCTCAGCAACCTGGTTCTGACCTCCGCATCGCTTTCCGCTTTCAGCCCGCAGACGAACACGAGGCATTTGAACTGGTCCTCCGAAAGCTTCCCAAGTTCGAATTCGACACACAGTTTGTTCACCAGGCAGGCGAACGTTTTGTAGTCCTTAGTGACTTGCTTTGTGACTTGCAAGCACCGGTACCGTCTGCTAATCACAGACTCTAGCATACCAAACAAACTTTTCAGTTTACTCACCGTGTCGTCGAACTTCACCTCGTTGGGGCTTTTCGGTAGGATGTAATTGGTGTACCTCTCGTGCTCTGAAGGACCCAACTTCCGTAGCAGCAATCTCACCTTGGCTTCATAGTCGAGGCGAACGGCGTCTTTGGCGAATAAATCCTGATAACGCACGTACGTATGCAACAAACGTGACGTTTTGATCCGGCTCGTACCGAAATTCGCGGATGTTACTCGCCAGCGAATCGAGAATTTGCTCAGGGTTCGTCGGCACTTGAATGTTGATAGCCGACATCGCCGCCCGAAACATCTGCTCCTGCTGTTTCAAAAGCGCCTGTTGCTGCTGCATCTGCATTTGCATCTGTTGCTGCATCTGCTGTTGCATTTGTTGTTGCATTTACTGTTGCACCTGCTGCTGCATTTGCTGAAAAAAAAATGCAACATCGCTGGATCTATCGATGGAATGTTTTGTTGTTGTTGCTGCTGCTGGTGGAGGTGAGGTTGTGTTTGCTGGAGCATCGGCGGACGGATGATTGGGTTTAATTGCGGCTGGGTGTTCACTCCCGGTTGCTGGATCCTGCTGCAGTCCATTGTTGCTGGGGTTCACTCCCAGGTGAAAACATACTGTCGTCCGCAATTCTTCTCCTCTTCCGTGAACGAAACACTTTCGCTCACTCGCGTGAAATGTTCTCAAACAATTTCGTTTTTCCGACGTCGCCACTGTTACGAACGCGCTAACGGTGTGGCCGTGTACATCATGTACAATAAAATGAACGCGAACGTAAACTTGCAAATAAAACTTTATTAAAATGACGAACTAAAAGTATACATTGGGGGCGAGCCCGGCGTAGTGGTTAACATCCATACCTCTCACGCCAAAGTCACGAGTTCAAATGTCACCCCCGGACAAGTCACGAATGACCCAAGAGTGTTAAAGTGACTATAATTGAAAAAAAAAAAATAAAATAAAAAAAAAATAAAAGTATACATTGACTTGCGGGAAGCGCACACGATACAAGATGACGGACTCGAACATATCTGATGTGTTGTTCCTCTTTCTTATGCTGGTTCGCGCATCTACGGGTGACAGCTTAGCTGCTACCAGTGAGCTCAGTTCAGCAATATCATAAATTACGAGGATCAAAGTAGGCCGTGCTGCTAAATTGACGTATTTTTTAATGCTGCGTGATTTTTTCTTTAACAATTAAATTCAAATTCGAAATAATTAAAAAGTGGAATTGGAAAAAAAGTGTAGCATAATTGTAAAAGAATTGCGTGACAATGACCAAATGGAGTCCCACTTCTTTCAGTTGCTAGCAAATAGTGGAGTTTAGGAAGACAGTAATCAATTAGCTGATGCTCATTAAATACGCGTCAATCAAGAATTACACTTCTGCTTGATTGAATGTTTCAATACAATTGTTTGCTAATATCAATAATGTATTGCGTATTCGTGTGTGAAAATCGCTTCGAAATGCTTGCGTTCTTCAAATAGGCTCTTGGATCTGCGGTAGAGCTGTCACCTTCTAACTTTCGGATTCAAGCTTCTTATAGTCATCAAACATGATTGCAGAGATATTTTATCCATAATGCTACTGCCCGACCGCGGGAGTTGGATTGTTAATACACACATAAATATAGGCACGATCATACATTACGTCGCGATTTTAGGGTGGAAGGGAGGTGGGTTTGGATTCAAAATGTTTTAAGGTCTAGTCAAAAACGTGACAAAGGAGGAAGGGGGCTTAAAATGAGCCCTTAAATGGTCAACTTCAAATTGATGTATTTCTGTTGAAAATGCATAAAAAACCTAAAATGCTGCATTTGGAATGGTTGCTATGATAACTTTCACCGTTTGCTCTCCAGTTTTCAAAATGACGTCCAAGCAAGAGGAGCAGCGAGTCCAAATTTTGCTCGCTGCTCCTCTTGCTTGGACGTCATTTTGAAAACTGGAGCCAAGTTGGCAAAATTGCTGAATGTGGCCAAATCGACCGTGACAAACGTTTTAAAAGTGTTCGGGGAGCGTCTGTCGACCGCCAGGAAGCCTGGAAGCGGTGGCAATCGTAATCCGGACGTGGCAGCGACGACTAAGAAGGTGGCGGTGAAATATAAGCGGAATCCTAACCTCTCCATCCGGGACGTCGCTGGCAAGCTCAATATCTCCCATACTACTGTGCAGCGGGCCAAGAACCGAGCCGGGTTGTCGACGTTTAAGAAGGTGAAGGTGGCGAACCGAGATTACAAACAACACACGTTGGCAAAGCAGCGGTCCCGAAAGCTGTATACGAATCTGCTCACAAAGTTCGATTGTGTCGTCATGGACGACGAAACTTATGTGAAGGCAGATTTCAAGCAGGTTCCGGGACAGCACTTTTATACCGCATCGGGAAAAGGGAAGGTGGCTGAAATTTTTAAAACCATCAAACTATCGAAGCTCCCGAGAAAATATCTCGACTGGCAGGCCATATGCACGTGTAGTCTAAAAAGCGTCATTTTCATTACCACGGGAACCATCAATCAATAGATTTACGTCCAGGAGTGCCTGGAAAAGCGGCTGCTGCCATTCCTAATTCCAACATAATAGACCTGTGCTGTTCTGGCTGGACTTAGCGAGCTACCACTATGGGAAAAAGGCAATCGAGTGGTACGATGCGAACAACGTGGTTGTGATACCCAAAGACTACAACCCTCCCAACAGCCCAGAACTCCGCCCTATCGAACGGTATTGGGCCTTGGTCAAATGGAATCTCAAAAAAACTAATAAATCCATGGAAAACGAGCAGCTGTTTAAAACTAACTGGCGTTTGGCGGCG